ATGCATATACATATACATACATACATACATACATACATACATACATACACACATTTAATCATTTCTTATAGTCTTGATCCTTTCTTTTTTCTAACCAACCATAAAATTTATCCCATACTTTGTAATAATCCAGTTCATCCTTATTTTTTAAATCCTTTGTCAATTTGTCCCTTTCTGCACACTTCCAAATTTTCCCAATTATTTCAAACTCACTTGGAGTTTCTTTACCTTTCCAATGTTGTGCAGGTGGCTGTGATTATATGAATTATTAAATGTGTAATATCCTTGTCATATTTCTCCACATTTATTCCTAACAGAAAAAACTCTGGTCTATATTCTATTTTAATCCTACATATTTCTTGTAACCATTTCTGTATTTTTTGCCAAAACTTTTGGGCTTCTTTGCAATTCCACCATAAATAGTAATACGTTCTTTTTTCTTTGGCCAAGTACCTGAACCTCCACTCCAACCAATAACTCCGAGACAGACATCTTCTCAAAAGTTCTTTTTATTTTGGATAATAAACTGGCACAACTGGGGAATCCCGAATCTGAAAGTTCCAGGCTTCCTTGCAATAAGTAAAAACTACAAATCTATGCCCTGCACCCATCATCACATCATTTGCCCCAATCACCATCTGTCCCAACTTGAAACTTCCGCTCACTTATGTGCTAAATAACATGACCTTGAATTAGAAAAAGAACGTTATTATGTCTGACTACATACACTCCAAGAAACCACCCACCCACCCACTTTCCTAGGCTCAAAATGTGACAGCGTGGGAGATCTGGTCTCAATATGGCTTCCAAAGCTGACAGGCGTTATAACTTTGAACGGTCACTAAATGAACTGTTTTAAGTCGAGGACTACCTGTAGTTAACACAGAACACAATTCAGTGACATTCTCAAGTGGACAAGGCTTTCTAGCACACACTTTCTCACTTTGCACTATTTCAGCGGGGCATAAAAAGGAGAACATAATGGATTATGCTCCAGGGTCAAGTATGGCTGCCTTCTGCTCACAGATTCTTAATTTGATCCATTTATGCGGACTGAGATGACCTCTTGTTCTGGTTGATTTAACTAGTTGATTTAACTGGGATGTCATTTTACTTTCTGTAGTTTCCCATTACTCTATACAGAGAGTCCTCATTTAGCAACCACAATTGGGGCCTACAACTCGGTCACTGAGTGAAGCAGTTACTAAGTGAAATTTCAACTCTGCTTAAGATCTTACTTCAGCTCCCCTTTGCTTTACAGTCCTCAATGTGAGGCATGGACATAGAGTTGTTCTTTTCACCACTGTCCCTAAACGAAACAATTGCTAAATGAGGACTACCTGAAATGGTCTTGGCTTAGACACAGAGACAACCAACACAGCACCAGCCCATCACACCAACAAGCAGAGACCCAAAGGTGCTTTTTTTTCAAGAGGCAACTGGACTTTCTGGTTTTTTCCAAGAAGACGTTTCGCTTCTCATCCAAGAAGCTTCTTCAGCTCGAACTGGATGGTGGGGAATGGAAGTCAGAGCTGAAGAAGTTTCTTGGATGAGAAGCAGAGGTGGTATTCAGCAGGTTCTGACCAGTTCTGGAGAACCGGTAGTGGAAATTTTTAGTAGTTCAGAAAACCTGCAATTACTGCCTCTGAACGGCCCCGCCCCATCGATTCTCTGCCTCCTGAGTCCCAGCTGACCGGCTGGGTCTTCTTTGGTTGCCCTGCACAGGAGAATGGAGCTGGAAAGCAGGTTAGCAGGGTGGGGAGGGAATGGGATTTTGCAGTAACCTTCCCCTGCCATGCCCACCAAGCCACGCCCACAGAACTGGTAGTAAAAATATTTGAATCCCACCACTGATGAAAAGCAAAACATCTTCAAAGAAAAAAGAGAAACTCCAGTTGCCTCTTGAAAAAACCACCCCGGGACAACCACAACCTGGATGACTGAGAATCTCCACGGACAACAAGCGGAGACATGCCCAATAATGAATGAAAGGATCGCCCTTGTTTTGTATTCAGCATACCGACCTGATCATCAAAGCGGTAAGTAAGGAACTGCTCTCCTGCAGTGTCTTCTAAAAAACTTCCTTGTGGGGAAAGTACAAATTCAGGCAGGAAGTAAGCCTCTTGTAACTGTTCTGCTGTTGTCTGTAAAAGAATGCAAGGCAGTGTGTTACAGATTCAGAAGAGAGAAGAGAGTCTGGACCACTCAAGACAAATCCAGTACATTTCTCATGGCAACACTCTGCCCACAGCCTGGAGTTCGATCCTGATGGGACTCAAGGTTGACTCAGGCTTCCATCCTTCTCAGGTCGGTAAAATGAGGATCAAGATTGTTGGGGCACTACGCAAATAATGCTGACATTGTAACCCACCCAGAGAGTGCTATAAAAGTGCTATGCAGCAGTATATAAGCCTAAATGCTACTGCTATTGCTATGAAGCTAGTAAATAAATTAAGTATTTTCTCCTTTACTGAAGACATACACCTCTGCAAACCAGAGGTGGTATTCAGCAGGTTCTGACTAATTCTGGAGAACCGGTAGCAGAAATTTTGAGTAGTTTGGAGAACCAGCAAATACCGCCTCTGACTGGCCCTGCCCACATCTCTTCTCTGCCTCCAGAGTCCCAACTGATTGGCTGGGTCTTCTTTGGTTGGCCTGCACAGGAGAACGGAGCTGGAAAGCAGGTTAGTAGGGTGGGGAGGGAATGGGGATTTTGCAGTAACCTTTCCCAGAAGTGGGGAGGGAATGGAGACTTTGCAGTGTCCTTCGACATCAAGCCACGCCCACAGAACAGGTAGTAAAAAAAATTTGAACCCCACCACTGCTGCAAACCATAATACACACTTCACTTTTCACTGATAACTAGCCAAGGAAATGAACCCACAGTGCTTCTCTGCAAGATCTTCTCTTTTCTTTCAAAAGTTGGTTAATATGCCATTTTGGACTTGGCTTAATAAATCGTGTATATCTGATTTCTGTGGTCTATAGAGGAGAGTTTATTACTGAGCACAATTTGAGAACCAGACAATCCACTGGGTTTATTCATGGGGACAAGATCAAGATTTATTGTAACATAGACATCTACTCAATGAAACATTTGGTTGCACTGACCAGGATGGAAGCAGATTAGATCCTAGATGTAATTACCATTTTTATTCACTTAATTTGTGATTCCCTTTTGTGACCTGCTGATGAGCTAAGCTAATGAGAAAGTGAGGTTCACTTAACAACCATGTGCCTAATTTAACCACTCCGGTGATTCACTTAACAAATGTGGCAAGAAAAGTCGCAAAATGAGGCAAAACTCACCTTAACAAATGTCTCCCTTAGTAACATAAATTTTAGACTCAGTTGGGGTCGTAAGTCAAGGACACTTTTTTATGCCAGTTTTTAACGTTTGAAACAAAAAAAATTCTTTCGACTGGCCAGCAATCTGTTTAATTATTTGGAAACTGCTTTTTTATTTTTTATTTTTTTTAAAAAATCCTCCAAACGGCATCCTTCTTTTAATTTTAATTTTATCCATTTATCTTAATAAAATTAAGTGTGAAAATACATTCAATAGTTTTTTTATCTGTATAGATATTCATATACCATTTTGATACTTATTTTTCTTGAGTGCTTATTTTTCTTGAGTAATGTTACATCATTACTACGCTTGCTGTTGTTATGTGCCTGTTTAATAAAGTACATTCTCCAGAAAGCTTTTTTCCCATTGAGTACAAGCCATTTATATTTCATAGAAGCCAATGTGGCAGACTTTTTGTATTACCTTTGATTTGTATTCTACTCTAGCCATCTGAATTAAAGCCAGGAGCGTGGAAAAATTCAACCCAAGAGATTACCTGTTAGAATGGAAAACACTTCTGCAATAATTTCCTTACCCAATAAATTTTGGGAAGAGAGAGGGAATAAAGCAAGCAGATTCAATTTTATAGCAACAGCAACCTAGTAAATGCTATTAAGAATAGAATAACATTTAAGGCAAATGCAAATATACAGCATCCAAAAATTGCAAGTAATATAAATATTGTCTGAATGCAAAACTTTCCTTTCCAATACGTAATACATGTGAACATGGGAGGGATTTCTACAACTTGGAATAAAAACTGCCCTGGGGGGGTGAAAAAAAATGCTATTTTATTTTCATCTCAATATACCGGAACAAATCAGACAGCAGTCAAACTCCCTACACAACATTATTAAAAAACTACAGTATTCTCAATTCCTAAAAATAATTTGCAAGGATATACTTAAAACAATGGAGCGATATCAACCTTCTGTCAAAGCAAATCAGAAGAGCCCATATAACAGACTTGAAGATGTCGGTGCCTGTTATGCAGTTATTCTAAAGCTGAAGATGGATAAAGCAGATTGTTTATATTAACTGTTTCTCATTTCTGTGCTAATCTTTCCATTGGAAAAAAAACTGTGGGAAGGGGCTTTCTTACAAAAATGTTGTTAAGAAACATTTGACAATGAAAACAGACTACAGATAGCTCTTGTCTTGCAACAGTTAATTTAGTGACCGTTCAAAGTTATGATGTCACTGAAAAAAAGTGACTTATGACTAGGTTGGTAAAATGGGGGCCCAGATTGTTGGGGGCAATATGCTGACTCTGTAAACCATTTAAGAGAGGGCTGTAAAGCACTGTGAAGCGCTATAATTCTAAGTGCTATTGCTAAATGCGAAGGGAAGGAAGGAAGGAAGGAAGGAAGGAAGGAAGGAAGGAAGGAAGGA